CCCCCTATAACACTGTTGATAATTCCGTTTTATGTGAATTCCATGTTGTACGAGTCACTTATATTTTACAAATACGTGTGCCGGGCTGTGAACGGCTCGCATATTTGTAAAATCTAAGTGACTCGTACAACATGGAATTATCAACAGTGTTATAGGGGGGTCGACTGTATAAGATTTTCAAGACTGCAATATTCATGATTTATGGAATATAAATGGAATCTATTCTGTGGCAAAGAAACTTTGAACAAAATTATAACATTTTCTAACATTAAATGATATATAATTATCTTAAATTATCATTTGTAGAGTTTCATATGAAAAATATTAAGGTAAATACAGTGTAGGATTACAGAAACTACACTCAAATCCAGTATCAGACTATCATTTACTCTGTTTTGTTAAGTTTCTCTACATAATGTTGTTTCTAATGTTCAAAACATAGCATTTTATTATTCCAGTAATAGATTTCTGAATGTGTGAAATTATTGAATTGTTAGATAAGGATCTGCCATAGAATAGAATCTGGATCTATGTGCTAGTTCTCTATAAATCTATAGTTTTTATGGAAAGAATTATAGAAAATTACCAGATAGACCCAGCATTGCCTGGGAGTACGAGTCACTTAGATTTTACAAATATGTGTGCCGGGCTGTGAATGGTTCACGTATTTGTAAAATCTAAGTGACTCGTACAACATGGAATTCATATAAAACGGAAAAATCAACAGTGTTATAGGGGAGTCGACTGTATATAATTAATTGCAAAACAGGCAGTGGATAAATAAAATATTAAATAAAAATGTAGTAGGTTGAATAAGTACTATGTCGTCTGATAGAAATGTTTTTTGCAGGGAAGACATCTTTGCTGTCTCCTAGGCAATAGAGAGCTGTTCCTTGTATGCAGGACTTTTAGGCCACAGGGTTTTATTGGAGATTTTTTTTTAATCACAGTTTCATGACATTGAGGCCCAGTTAAGCTGTCTTTTTTGATTTTCTCTCTCTCCAAGTATCAGAGAATGTTCTTCAACTTTCTCATTTTCATCCTTTTTCCACTATATTTCTAACCTCAAATGTTTAGCAGATTCCGGTATGTAGTTGGAAGACATTTTCCTCAAGCTAATCCGTACAAATTTCAATAGTCAGAGATAACTGGAAAATAAAGCAATGATTTTGTAACAATTAAAATTTGCTTTATCTGCAATAAGACCCACACTGACTTAAAATGAAGGAAGCTTTTCGTTCTCCAAACATTTTGTTTCAAGATTAACCTTTGTACAGTGGGTTAGTCAGCTACGGCGCTATCACAATGTAGTGGAGAATAAACATGTTTTTCTCGTTACTGTTTCGGGAAAAAATTTTTTAAACAGTTATGTCTAGTAAAGAAAAATCTTTTTTTATTGTCACATAATTCCTTTTTTATGTGAATTTTTTTTTTGCGGTAGTTTTCGGCGATATCCGCAAAATTCTTTTGCGGATATCGCCGAAAACTACCGCGGTTGAGAACATTAAAAGAAATCTTGACTTCAAAATCCAAAAGTATTCAGTAAAGAGTATTCTCAAATCTTGAGAATCAAAAGAATCAATCAAATAATTTATATTGATTATTTTATTTCATTGTCTCAATTTTAATTAGCATGCTGTTTTTCTGGGATACATTAAATTTATTAAGGTATTACTGTACTAAGAAATATGTATGTATTAATAGATGTTAAAGATCAGTCTATAATTCAAGTGCAGTACAGAATTGCAGTAGATGAATCTGTTAATTCATTATACAGTAATACCCCGAACTTACGCGATAGCTGGGACCGAGCAATAACCACGTAAGTCGGGGTATAATTTCACAATTCGTGTAAAATCCAAATCGAATGTATGTAAGCTAATAAATGGTCTAGTTAATCTTATCTCGTCTTTTGATTCGTTCACGGTTACAAGAAATCACCATATAGAGTCTCTCAAGTCTCCGTAGATATAACAAACACAAATAAATAACACAAAATAAATTGTAGCTATGTATCGATTCCGCGCGACACGTCCGAACATGTAAGCTGAACAATAGTGTGGGGGGAGTGAGTAATTGAGAGTTGCGTGGCGCTCAAACAAAAGATGAATTGACGAGATTTGAAAATCGCATTAACTCCGGGTTCATGTAAGTCGAGGTATTACTATACTATAGTTTCACTATACACCAAACTGCAAGCTATACTATTTAATCCACTTTAATTGTATCCAAAAATAATATATTTTATATGGAACAGAACTGAAAAATGTTATTATCTGGGTGTACTGTAACTGAATATATAAAATATACAATAGTACTTGTATTTATGATTTCGTGGATGGTGATTGGTTAGGTCAACCCTTTCCTAATGCTACTGAAATCTAATTCTAATGAATAAGAATATGTAAATAGTCTAATTATTTAGTTTTCTAATTGTAAAATTATTTATTTTAGATAAATTTCTTCAAGAAAAGAATTTAAGTCAAGATAAAATGGATAGTCCGGAAGCAGATAGAGATATCAGTATTGTAAATGAATCAAATCCTTTACAAAAGAATGAAAATAGCAGACTTTTGAATTCCTTTTTAGTTACAACACCTGATTCGTTGAACAATTCTGCATCTCCCGAAGTAGAAAATCTAGACAAGTTAATCAGCGATAAAAATGTAGAATCTGGAATTGAAATTTCTAATTCTCATTCTGCAGAACATATAGTGGATGGTCCTTCCCTTACAGATGAAGCAGTAGATAGTATAAATTCTTCATTGAGCGAATCGCTACAAAAAGATACTTGTGCAGACGAACGGCATAAAATAAACGAAAGTAATTCCCAGTCGAACGATAAAAACGATATTGTCAATGCTTCTACAGTTGAAATTATTGAATTTCTAGAAGAAGAAACAAGTTGTCTATCTTCAGATGAAAGTAAGTTTTAAATAAAGTTTAAAATTAAATAGTATAAAGACTTTTTTATAGTGTAGAAATTGATAAAACTATATTTATGGTGATAAATTTCGTAAAAGTGAAATCTTAAATTTTCATTTTTTCAGATCATATAAAACTTTATATAGGCTAAAAATATAACATTCATATTCATGTATGTTTCCATATTTTATATATTTTCTATATTTATACATAATTCACAAAATTTCATGAAAAAAATCATTTTCTATAAATAGAATTCCAATCTAGTGCTGCGATTAAATTTAACATTACAGTCGATCCCCCTATAACACTGTTGATAATTCCGTTTTATGTGAATTCCATATTGTACGAGTCACTTATATTTTACAAATACGTGTGCCGGGCTGTGAACGGCTCGCATATTTGTAAAATCTAAGTGACTCGTACAACATGGAATTATCAACAGTGTTATAGGGGGGTCGACTGTATAAGATTTTCAAGACTGCAATATTCATGATTTATGGAATATAAATGGAATCTATTCTGTGGCAGAGAAAATGTGAACAAAATTATAACATCATCTAACATTAAATGATATATAATTATCTTAAATTATCATTTGTAGAGTTTCATATGAAAAATATTAAGGTAAATACAGTGTAGGATTACAGAAACTATACTCAAATCCAGTATTAGAATATCATTTACTCTGTTTTGTTAAGTTTCTCTACATAATGTTGTTTCTAATGTTCAAAACATAGCATTTTATTATTCCAGTAATAGATTTCTGAATGTGTGAAATTATTGAATTGTTAGATAAGGATCTGCCGTAGAATAGAATCTGGATCTATGTGCTAGTTCTCTATAAATCTATAGTTTTTATGGAAAGAATTATAGAAAATTACCAGATAGACCCAGCATTGCCTAGGATAAAAGAAAAGTAAACTTTTAATATGATTTCCCATTGGTTAATGTATATATTTAAATATAAATATCAACAACTCATAGCCCGAGTAGTAAATACATCACCAAACGATCGCCTAAATATCGGGCTATAATACGGCTAATTAAATGATTGGAATATAGTAATTTGACACTAGAGGTAGATGTTAGGCGCCATCTCTTAAGTAAATTAATAATTAAAATTAAATAAATAAATCAATAAATAAATTTAGAATCTTCTGGAATAAAAGAACTGGCCCGGGGCGGGACTCGAACCCGCAGCCTCCGCTTGCCGTGCGGCGCGCTTACCAGTTACGCTACCCAGACCCTCGAGCTAGTCTTCGCTTCCAGAAGTATATTAGATTTAGATATAACCTTACTTGGTTAAATACATCACTGACTGGGGACGACTCCTTCGCCCACGGCCATAGCGGCACTCAGCCAGCTAACGCAACACCCGGCGAGGTATATATATATATAAACATCAACAACTCATAGCCCGAGTAGTAAATACATCACCAAACGATCGCCTAAATATCGGGCTATAATACGGCTAATTAAATGATTGGAATAAAGTAATTTGACACTAGAGGTAGACGTTAGGCGCCATCTCTTAANTTACTTAAGAGATGGCGCCTAACGTCTACCTCTAGTGTCAAATTACTATATTCCAATCATTTAATTAGCCGTATTATAGCCCGATATTTAGGCGATCGTTTGGTGATGTATATATTTAAAAAAATAAGTCTGAATAAACTGTCACATTATGATGACTCACTCATGCAAAGCTTCAACCACTTCCAACATTTCTTTTTAATCTTCTGGGCATTCTCCTAAATAAAAGCTTTGCTTTAAAAGAATTTAGTAATTTAATATTTAGTTGGGCCTTCGTTTGAATGTAGTGCAGTCTTGAATCTCTTCAGTGTCAACTGACCAGTTTTGCTGTATATTCAGGGCTAATTTTATTCCATTCTGTGATAAGTGCATTTTTTTAGATTACTTTTATTACTGAAGTAATGTTTCTAGATCCTTCATTTAAGTTTCTCTCATAAATTAATTGTAAATATTCATATATCAAATGCCTTTTTGTCTGTATTTTAGATAATTAAACATTTGTTTCAAATACAACCAACAACAAAACATATACTACCTTATGTTTATTCAGTAATTAAACTTAACAACACGCAAAAGACCATTATGCATTTCAACAACAAAAAAGAATGTTGTCCTTCTCAAGCTGGTTTTTAATTCTACAACTCCTTCAGCCAACATATAACACAATAAAAAAGTTTACTTTTTTTTACAATCTTCCTTATTTTTTACCATGTTAAAAAAACACCATTGTATGTATATCTGGAAAAAATTCTTCCACCACTGTGATTGCTTTGAAGAGCTCTTTTGAGTGACTCGGGTCTTGACTGGATTTAAAATTGCAAAGGGTTACAATTCCCTGTTGAGCTTTTAAAAATTGAAAACAGTAACTTCTTAGAAAGAACATTCAGAACAGTTAATCACAGATTGAACGTTTTTGTCATTTACAATTTTTCGAATTGTATACTCAATTTTTTAAATGGGTACCCAATGTTTAGTACCAGTATATTTCTAGGAAAGTGATCACATGAATGAATTGTGATACTAAAGCAAATATCTGGAGGAAATCTTATTCTCAGTCCCTTTCATCACTGTTCTGACACATGTGGACGGCATTTTCTTCAGTACATTTTGCCACTTCCGTCACTAATTTCTAATTGTCATTACCATTTCTTTAGAACTTATGCAAAATGCAAAAATGATAGCTGATGGTGGAAATTCTGCTATCCTAATAGTATTAGATTTGATATTTAAATCAGGGCTGTGGAGTCAGAGTCGGAGTCGTAGAGTTTTGGTGTTTTAGCTGGAGTCGGAGTCGGATGGTAAGGAAAAGTCGGAGTTGGAGTCGGTAGATTTTTACGCGACTCCACAGCCCTGGCACGGCTACGGAGTCGGAGTCATGGAGTTTAGGTGTTTTAGTCGGAGTTGGATGGTAAGGAAAAGTTGGAGTTGGAGTCGGTAGATTTTTACGCAACTCCACAGCCCTGGCACGGCTGCAGAGTCGGAGTCATGGAGTTTAGGTGTTTTAGTCGGAGTTGGATGGTAAGGAAAAGTTGGAGTTGGAGTCGGTAGATTTTTACCCGACTCCACAGCCCTGGCACGGCTGGAGAGTCATAGTCATGGAGTTTAGGTGTTTTAGTCGGAGTTGGATGGTAAGGAAAAGTTGGAGTTGGAGTCGGTAGATTTTTACGCGACTTCACAGCCCTGATTTAAATGACAATAATTAACTTTTCCTGAATTTTCAAAGGTTACATAATGCAATTTTCAAAAAGACTTGAACTTATTTAGCTACAAAACCTATCACATGAATTCAGAAAACTAAAAAATTTACTGAAAACAAATATAAATTCTTTATGAAACAGTTTTATACTTGTAATACTTTGTAAATTGTAATTTGAAATGTATTATTGATTTTTGAATTGAAATCTAAAATCACCCCAAAAAAAACTTTTATTTTTTTATCTTAAATTATTTTATAATTTATATCAACTTGATATATATTAAATACTTACGATAATAGACACGATAAACATTTTATATTTAAACTTTTGATTTGAAATTTAAATTATCTTTGGATTAAACTTGAAAACTTTGGATAAATTTATAAAATAAATTTGCTTATCATCGTTTTCCTATTAATTACGTTTAATCATAAAATGTTTTAGATATACGTGAGAAATCTTTAAATATGTCTAAAAATAGAACTTTGTAAAGAATGTAGTAACATGATTTCATGTATCTCTGCATTTTGCTGATGCGTTAACAACAAATATCTATTTTAAGCTAACCTTCAATTTTTGTTTTGGCGTTTTAAAGTTCAAGACTCCGATATCAAATTTATAATCGCAAAGTATAATTAGTAAACTTCACGGGGATATTGCGAATTTTATTTTAATGACAATTAAATTAAAAACGTAAAAAATATTAAACTTCAAATTAAACAGTTCAAATTACTATATAATTGGATAAAAATATAGTTTAATTTGATGTAAGCATTTCTTTTCTTTTTGTTATTTATTACTGATTTAACAATGAAATCTGGTACAGTTGCATGCCACCTGTGTATAATTCAAACAGTTTATTATCTATGTGCTAGTTCTCTATAAATCTATAGTTTTTATGGAAAGAATTATAGAAAATTACCAGATAGACCCAGCATTGCCTGGGATAAAAGAAAAGTAAACTTTTAATATGATTTCCCATTGGTTAATGTATATATTTAAATATAAATATCAACAACTCATAGCCCGAGTAGTAAATACATCACCAAACGATTGCCTAAATATCGGGCTATAATACAGCTAATTAAATGATTGAAATGAACGTCTACCTCTAGTGTCAAATTACTATATTCCAATCATTTAATTAGCCGTATTATAGCCCGATATTTAGGCGATCGTTTGGTGATGTATATATTTAAAAAAATAAGTCTGAATAAACTGTCACATTATGATGACTCATTCATGCAAAGCTTCAACCACTTCCAACATTTCTTTTTAATCTTCTGGGCATTCTCCTAAATAAAAGCTTTGCTTTAAAAGAATTTAGTAATTTAATATTTAGTTGGGCCTTCGTTTGAATGTAGTGCAGTCTTGAATCTCTTCAGTGTCAACTGACCAGTTTTGCTGTATATTCAGGGCTAATTTTATTCCATTCTGTGATAAGTGCATTTTTTTAGATTACTTTTATTACTGAAGTAATGTTTCTAGATCCTTCATTTAAGTTTCTCTCATAAATTAATTGTAAATATTCATATATCAAATGCCTTTTTGTCTGTATTTTAGATAATTAAACATTTGTTTCAAATACAACCAACAACAAAACATATACTACCTTATGTTTATTCAGTAATTAAACTTAACAACACGCAAAAGACCATTATGCATTTCAACAACAAAAAAGAATGTTGTCCTTCTCAAGCTGGTTTTTAATTCTACAACTCCTTCAGCCAACATATAACACAATAAAAAAGTTTACTTTTTTTTACA